CCAGATCTAAATTGGGGGTTTTTAAAAGTGGCGACCCCAGGCTGTTTGAGGTGTGGTCTGACTCGGTGCGAGGCCCTGCAAAGCATCAACACACGGCTCCAATGCCTTCAAGCTGGAGGCAGAGGGGAACCATCACACCCAGGCAGCTCCAACCGCCCCCCATTATAGATGATGATCTCATCCCCGGCCATCCGCGGCCATTACAGACACAGAAAATGGCCACCTAAGAGAAGCGCTGTGTCTCGATTAGAGCGGGAAATCGGACTGTGAAGAGACAGACCTTTACAAAGATATCATCAGTGTCACATGAGAGCCGGTATAGCTCTCAAATATCAACTCTTTAGAGGGAAAGTCAGCTTGCTTTTGTCTCGCTGTAGATGAATATCTCTATATTTCTCTATCTATAGCAGCCAGAAATAAAAGACTTCCCATGATAATATAAACAATGGCAGCTTTTAAATACCTCAATGAAGCAAAGTGTTATTAGAATATATAATATTTATATATAATAAATATTTAATAGACATTTTAAAGTGTTTATATAATAAGCCACAATTTGAAAAGGAAAAACTGTCTTGTCCATCTCAGTGAGTTTTAAAATAACAAATGCATTCACAGCCGTCAGCTTTATGCTTTCATGCTGTCTCTCCCGGGGGAAGGCCTGTCCTCCTCATGTAATGCAGCTGTAAACGGAGACAACATTTACTGTCTCACTCCGTCATACGTCTCTGACATCCCCGCCGCTGTCGTCCACACGGACAACGTTCCTGAACAACTGTCGGCAGTAAATCTGCGTCTTGAAGTCTGAAAGGAAACGAGCAGCGACGACAGTTTCCTCGCCGCCTGCAGATGTTCACCTCAACGCTGCAACGCCACTGTCACTGTTATTAGTCACAGGATCAAACTAAGGAAACGTGTCACTTATCTCTGAAGCTGACGCTCAGATAATCCAGTATCGTCACGTTATAAAGAAGTTATAAAAAGTTGTGAAATGAATCTAAAACAGTCCAAGTATTTCCTTGTTGGTGAAACTATTATTTATATTTCTGTAAAATAGCTGCTCACAGATTTTGTTCTCAAACAAACGTATACTTGTAGGCAATGATCTTTAGATGATCCAGCAATCTTTTTATAAGAGCAGACAGAAGGTGGAAATATTACATATGAAGAGACATTTTAAAAATCCATTAAATTCAAACTCCGTAGAGAGAAATGAAACCTCTCCTCTCAAAGGTTTCTGTTTATTTGGGACATATTATGTTTCTAATTCTAATCTTGGCATAATACATCATGAGAGAGGCTCACTGAGTGTTATACGCTCTGAAATGTTTCCTTATTAGCAAAGAGAGAGTAAAACAAAAAAGGAGGGACACGTCTAGTAATGATTACACACACACACACACATACACACACACACTGGGTCTTTTTAAACTCTTATTATAGCGAGCGGCCGAGTGCTGCATCAAAGCTTTCTGCTATAAAGCATAGAACACATCAGGGGCTGTTAAACTGAGGGAAGTGAGTTTGGAAATGAAATGTTATCACACGGTTTGGTACAGTTCATCCAGGACTTACATACTTTCTTGTCATTAATGCTTCTCTTTTACTATCAAATGCAAATTTTTAATGTCAAATCTTTTCACTGGCTCGTATTTTTCAGGTCTTTTTGGAGTACGATTGTATTTTAACTCTTTTATTTTGCATTCATATATGGCTTATAATGCACAATAGTTATGTAATATATATATTATTACAACTATATTCTATATTGTCAGCAACTATTTTATTCTTATTTTATATATACTATGTGTATTTAAAAACACTTACATCTGCTCACATGCATTCTAGCATGTCATAAACCATTTATTAAATGTTTATATTGTGCTTATTAATGCACAATAAAGGGACTTGGAGTAAAGTGTTACTGTTTGTGGAGCTTTTAAAGACATTAATGAGGCCACACTACTTTTCTGTGCTGTTATCCTTTGATTAAACTCTGCAAAAGTGCATTGGGTTTCAGCTCTGCAAACAAAGTCGTGCACGCTGCTGTTTCCCAAAAGAAAACCGAACCCAAAGCTGGCAGTGAGCGACACACTTGAACTTCATGTGAGAACGGGACCAAAGTGGCAGTTGCGTGTTTGTTTTGGTGACGGCGGCAGAGAGCTGCGTTTGCTGTAATCCTTCCTGCCCGTGTGAGTGACAGCAACAGGTTGAGCAGCAGGTCTACCTTCACTTTCTGTCGACTGTGGTGAAAAACGCGCCGGCCCCGACCTCGCCATCAGAAGCACACAGACACCGGCGGCCTCTCCTCTCCACTGACCCCCTTTTTGTGAGTTACACCTACTCGCCGTTTTAAACTCTTCACCAGTTTTTACTCTCCTCTTCCTTTGACATAACGTCACATGAAAAGTTCCTGTGTCTGGAGGTCAACACAGGTAGTTTTGTGCCGGAATATTTACAATATCTTCATGTTGAGACCTTTTTTCATGTCTAATTAAATCATTTTGCATACACACTTATGGACTGTCTCTCCATCTATACCTATATTTTGAGTGTAATTTATTTGCCAAAAAAGAGACATATAATAAACAAACTTAAAGTCAATTTGACTGATGGTATTATTTAACTTTTTTAGTAATTTTTTTCTGTCAATATCACGATAATATCATTGTCGTCAATTATTTTTGTAAAGAATCTGATTTCAGCCATAATTCCTGTAGGGAAGACAAATAAGGACACACTAACACACACACACACACACACACACATATATATATATATATATATATATATATATATATATTAAAATCACAAATTAAATTATTCAAATGTGTAAAGAAAATACATGGATTGATGGATGTTATGTGGAACCTCAAAATGACCTGGTGACAACAAGTATTTTCACAATAAAAGCCCAACATTGGCCCGATATATGAGTGAAAGCCACATTTATTCACACAGTGGGATATTTTGCCTCAAATAGCCCACGAGGGGCGAAGACTATTGACTGAAAACACCCCCACGGGCCATCAGTACTGCGAGACCAGCGACAGGATTGGAAACACGTGTGCATTAGTAATACCTACTCAGGGCCCTGAGCAAATATATAGCCTGGGCTAACCTGCTAAATGCCTTAATCTGTAAGGTAAACAGTAGAAGAGTTTGACACTCACTCACCTTTCCAATGCTGCGCTGCCTCTGCTGCCTTCGGAGGCTTAGGAGGAACTGTGTGTGTGTGTGTGTGTGTGTGTGTGTGTGTGTGTGTTGGGGGAGCGACAGCAGCAAAGTTACAGCCTTCCTCCACCGTGCTATCTGTTAAAGTAATTTTCTCTCAAAGAGGAATTAATTTCCTCTCTCAGACGGCCCACAGCGCCTGTGGCACCGCCTGTGTGTCGTCCACCCGGATCCCCGGAGTTACTGTGACGGTCCATCTGTAAAAACCTGCCGCAGCCACGGAAAACTCTGCAACAGCTCTAGAATTATCATTAGTTTTATGTATTATTTTACTATAAATCTGAACTGTGTGCACTTTAAATCCGATGCCTGATTCACTGAACAGTATAAGTCACATTGCTGCTGTGAATTTCAGAGATTTGAAGGATGGGGAACATGTGTGTGAAGTGATTATTCATCTTTAATCTTCAATAAAATATAAAACATTTAATTACAATGTTCTAATGATGTTATCTGTATACATTTTACAACCAAAATATTTGAATTGCAAAGACTAAAACCAGATTTTTTTATCATTCCCTCAAATCAATTACAGAGCAGGATTCATTTAGATAAATTGTATCAGAAGTTATATAACAGAGTTTGAGGGCTTGTAAATCTGCTTTAGTTTTATTTGAGCTCATTATAATAATAATAAAAGTAAGAGAGGATAAGAGAAGCCAAAGCAAAGAGGACTTTCTTCTTTCACTCCCGGGTGTTTACCGGCTTTATATTCCTACTTCACTTCTGGAAAATGACACTTTTATGGCCAAAATGATGAATGTGGGGGCTGACAATGCGTTTGATGTGTACGCCGAGGTTGTAGGTGGTTGGAATATTTCATCTTATGCAAAGTCATAAACCGTTACCGGGGGAATTTATTCCTGGTCACTCTCGACGCGACAAGCTCTTATTTCTTTTTTTATCTGCGTGCACTTATTTCAAATAATTATAAAGATTTTGCTGCATTGCTATAGTAATTAACGTTGCTTTTAAAGCCAACAAAAGTGGTGTTTGAAAATAAAGCTGTTATTTCAACTTGGTGACCTCACATCGACAGTCAACCCGGTGTCAGTGTTGCTGTGTATTTGGATTTGACGATGTGAGGTGTTTCATTTCAAAAACGAGATAAAAATCATATGCAAAAGAAAAACCCGCTCCTATAAAATGATTGACTGCACTAGATTAAAATGAACTGTGGTTGGTTTTTTGAGAGTAGTAGGTATAAAATGTTAACCTTTATTTCAGACTGGACACTTTTTGCACTGCAATGAATGTTGTTGTTTTTTAAGTTTCTGGTTATTATTTTGGAACAAAACTTGTCCTTTAAAAAGTAGTGGGGAGTAAAACATACAGGGACCAAGAGGCAGACAAAACGACGTGCAGAGGAAACCGTTTGAAGCCTTCTTCCACAACACTAACAGTAATTTAAAGGGTCAACGCTGACAAAGACAGGGCGACATGCTGAGTTAACCCCTGACTCCTCGCCTCCCTATCTCCCCACACCCCCCTCCTCCTCCCCCCAGCCCCACCCACGAACCATTAAGGCTGGTTTCTTTCAGGAAAAAAAAAAAGAAAAAGATGGCCACCGGAGGTCAGATCCAAGTCCAAAATAAATTGCCCTCTTTCCTGAGGCTCAGCCATTTTAATAGTACAGATTTATTGTGCTGTGCTTTTTGGAGGGCGATCATATGTATGTGGTCAGTAGCGCGTATGCAGCCTGTGACCCAGCCTCCCTCTCACGTTACACCCTATTTATAACATCCCCTCCGCCCGGCTCCCCTCGTTCTGCAGTTCCTAGTGGGAAGCACCTCCTGCTCCCAGCCTCGAGCTCCAGTCCCCTCCGTGTTCCTCCTGACATCCGAGAGGCTCTGCTGCAGCTTATCCTGGGCTAACTGTTTATCCTGTACAGCCTGGCAACTGGCCGCACGCTCCGGATTACCACAGGACACCATCTTCAAAACACACTTTGCTTTTCTGCTCTGACTCATCGAGAGTAGACTGACTTCTTTTAAACTGGAGGAAAAAAAAGTTTTGGGATAGTCAAAGGATCTTGGATATGTGCTTGTGATTTTTTTTTTCTTGGGGTTGATTTAGTAACTTTACCTTCTTTTACTTGCCCTTCTCACCTTTCCTGGAGGGCCGCGCGTGTGTGTGTGTTTGTGTTTGAACGCGATGGATCACACGCTGTTCGGGTGCCTGCGGAGCCCCCACGCCCCGGCGCAGGCCCTGCATCCCGCCTTCACCCAGTCTCCCCTGACTCTGCACGGACGCTCGGACCACGTCTCCTACCCTGACCTGGCCTCTTCCTCCTCCTCCTCCTCCACCTCCTCGCCCTCTCCCTGCATCATCTCCAGCTACCCGGTGGACGACGGCCTGTTTCCCGGGCAACACCACCACCACCACCACCATCACCACCCTCACCGCGGCCACCTGCCCTCGCAGCAACATCACCTCCCGCCTCAGCACCATGCATCGTGGCACATCCCACAGATGCCGTCACCTGGCGGGAACACGCGCCACAACCTGTGCCACCCGCACTCCCACTCAACCCACGACAGCGGGCCCACACCCCCGGACCTGGGCCACCCCGGGGGGCCCAGTATGTGCGCCAGCACCCCAAGTCTGGGCATCGGCAGCACCCCTACGGGGGCCTCCTGTGTGCCTGCAGACTTTGGCAGACAGACTCTGTCACCTGCTGAGGCCGAGAAGAGGAACAGCAAGAGGAAAAGTGACAGTTCAGGTCAGAGGAGCTGAGATTTTACTTTTACAATTTCATGATTAAATAAGCTGCTCGTGACGCATTACACAAGTCGAGACGTCCAACATGTCATTATTCAGTCTTATTGTTAGATAAACATCATTGCATAAATATCAGCATTTAAAAAAATTCCGTGCAGAAGAGAGGAATAGCACACTCAATCTTTCAACAGCACATTACTGTTGAGAGTTCTGCAGCTCCGATAGGAAAACAAAAAAACGGTGTGAGAAGCAGTTTTAAGGTGTCGGCTGACACACAGGGAGGCTGTTGCAGCAGGCGGACTGAAGCGTGGAGCAAAAGGCCACATCGTTACCAGTGTGGGCACATCTGACTCCTGGCCATGCTTTGTTTTCAAAGAAATCACACCTGGTTTGTTGCGACACTCGTCAGAGGGCAGAAAGTGAGTTTCACAGTGAAGAATTAATGTCACGGATAGTAAAAGGCTTCACCGGCGCCTCACAGCCACACTAAACACCCGACGCACGGAGGCGTCTCAGCCTTTTCTTCTTCTCTAAATATTGATGTTCAAATAAATCACAGGCAGGTTTTACTGAAATAAAAGGAAATGATTGCAGAGTTCTAGTATCTGTGTAGGATGTGATATTGGTTTTATTTTATCCTCAAATAAATGCACTTTTAAGAAGGATTCAAAATAAATTTAATACCACAAATAAACTCTTATTATCAGAAGTCAGATTTATTAAATGGATGTATATTCATATATCTATAAATAGTCAACAGACGGACTGTATGTTCCAGTAAAGTGAACCAGCGCCGTGAGCTTCAAAACACTTTTATTTCTTGTTTTATGACTTTCTCAAATTTGTGACTTGACTTCTGACTTTGATCTCTATATAGTCGTTGGCCGGTGTGTGTAGTTTTTGAAGATAAACCACAAATTATAAAGCTACATTGAAGGCTTTACATTGTCCTTTAATTATATAAGCTTTATATTAAAAATAATATAATCAAACTCTAACCAACAGGGGACAAAAAAAAATCTCTCTGCACATTTATGAACAAATCTCTCTTTTTAAGGATTGTACTCAAGTAGGTGACACCTCCCCGATGACATGCAGGACATTTCCAACCTGCAGTCACCGCGATAATCAATCACGCCGTGACAAACTGCCCGGGTTGGGTCGCCGGAGTTCTTGCAGAGGGAACGTGATATTAGCGAGAGATCTTAAGTTTTCCAAGGAAAGTGTGCTCGCCGTTCTCTCTGTCCATTTGAGGATTGCGGGCCCTCAGCGCCGACCCGCCACCCTTTTTATAGGCCTTTTTGTGTGCACGGCAGCGTGTCACCTGCACTTGACCACCGACTGAAACTCCTGCATGTGATTAGGATGCTGCAGGTCACCTCAGAGAGCATGCCTTCCCCTCTGACAGGGAGCTGTAATGAATAGACATTGTGACTGCACTGGAAATATGTATTTGTGATAATTCAGGTTATAACACCAAGCACTAGAAAGAGCAGTTAGAATTCACATTACTCTCTGATTTAGCAGGAACTAGAGAGTTAAATTAAAGATTCATGCAACACAGATCATGTAACACAGAGAGCCTTTAAGAGCCCAGACGGCCTCATTTTCAGTTTTATAGTTCTGTCTGTGCTAAATGTCTACTATAACTACATTATCCACGTGCAAAATGTTGCAATAGTATATTTAATCCACAAATCCAGCGCACCACCTCCTATTTCCTCTCCTCCTTTGTCAGATCATTTGGAAACCGAGCCTCTGCCTCCAAATCCCTCTTGCCCTGTAACAATAGTTATACAGCACATTACACGAGCCGTGCATTCCCTCCACGCTAACGCCAATCACGCTGATTATTGGGGCTAACTAGGTTTGCTGACTCAATCAGCTGTCTAAATATCACACCGCCGCCAAATTGCACGAGATAGAGCCACGGTTAGGTTTCACCATCTGGACTTGAGCAAAACAAAATAAAAAAAGCCTCAGATACAGAAATAATAACAAAACCCTGAGAGCTCATTTCCATGTTAGGTTTAGCCTTCGAATGTGAGGCATCTCAACTCTCTGCGTCTGATACTTGTGATTGTTTCCTCGAGGAGGGCCGCAGGGTGGGCTAATGAGATGAGCCAGCTCCCTGGTATTTTTGGGTGTCTGGTTTCTGCGGAACCTGCTCATTTTTTGTGGTCTGGTGGTTTGGTGCGACACGGACTGGTGCTGTCAAGGGAGTGGTCGTCCTTTTAAAAAGAAGTTGCTGGGTTTTCTGCGTGGAACAATAAAAAGGTGCTTGAAGTCTTATTTTGTGAGGTGCTGGAGGCCTCTCGCTGGCAGACGCTTTTTCCTAAAAGAAGCTTTAGAAAAACATCGCGGATGTGTCGGGTCACGGTTCGACTTCATTCTTGTGTTGATGCAATATTATTTTACCAAAGGAAAAAAAAACTTACACGCAAAGTTCCACCATGAGAGAAAAAAAAAATTAATTTCTTAAGACATTAGTTTTGAGAGGGGCCCTCCTGCACTGAGCTCAGTTCATTTAGGAACCCTAGATGACGTGCCCTGTCTGGTGGCGCTTATTTTTCTCATATTATTCCCCCTTTTTTGTGGGGAGATGAAAGTTACAGCGGGGACCTAATTGCTGTGGTGTAGTGGCTGTCTCATAAAAGCCCGCCGCTCGTTTTAACTCCAGGCCTGCTGGTCCGAACCAGCTGGCTGTGTTATTCTTTTATTTCTCTTTACACAATGTCTGTGTTTACCGGAGAGGGAGAGAGAGAAAGAGGGAGGGAGAGAGAGAGGATAAATACGTCTGAAGGGCCGTGTCAATCAGCCACGACACTGTTTGGAGAGCTCGGTTTGAAATTACAGGGAGGGAAAGGCAAGGTCATGGGGGGAGCCGGACACAGGCTGCGGGTCAAGCAATGATCTGTTTCATTGCATAAAACTCTTACAGTTTATATATTTGTTTGTCCTTGGCTCTGAAACGATGTGCCACACAAATATAACTTTTGTAGAGCAGTTCACCCCTCATCTTCTCTTCAGCCTCTCAAGGGAGTTATTTTGTTCTGAAAAAAACCCCACACTTAATTAGAAGGAAGATCCTCTTTCTGACAGAAAAAAACAAACCGACAGGAGTCCCTCCGGGTGGAAATCTTAGGTGAAGAGGTAGTTGGTCCTCTGACGTGGCTTCGAGGCTTCGCAAACATTTGTGAGTCTGGCTCACAAGGCTGCAGGACTATTTGCAGTCTGACTTGCCGGATTAACAGCAACCGCAGATGAATTAGCGTGCAATCACTGCCGCCTTCGAGTGCAATGTGTAAGTGAAGCACTTCCAACGGAGAAACCACAAAAGGCTGTAACAACAGGAAAGTTTTGAAGGGTAAATTGACTGTGCGTGTTGCCTTTCGGAAAGTAGAAATAACAAAAGAAAATGTATTTTTCCGGGTTGATGAGCTGAAGTTGAGATGACACATGCTGGGCATTTGTTTTCACAAGTATAGCCCACATCTTCCTCAATGAAATGCAGAATATGTTGCAAGTAGCCTTGCATTCGCTGCTCACGCATAGATATGTTTTATTTGTATTAAAGGGTCCCCCAGCATCCCATATATCAGGTAACATGTTATGTTATCTACTGTAAGCTCAACGCTTTAGTGTTCTTTTTTCATTTTTTGATTGCTGAAAACTTATTGTTTTACTGGCATTCTGAAATGTGCAAAAGAAATGTCAATCAAAACATGCAAAGCTCAAAAAAGGAAAGAAAAACTAAAAATGTTTGGGAAAATAACAGTACTTTGGCAGATTTTGCCATCAAACGAGGATCAGCCTGTCAGTTCTTACGTAAAAAAGAAACATAAATTTCACGTATCATGCAAAGCTGCTTTGCTCCATGTTTTAAAAATAGAGTAAGACAAATTAAACCCATGTTGGCAGTATACGAGCCGCCAGCCTGAGTCAGACGCACATGTGTAGCCGCCCACGAGTCCTTCCAGACACTTAAAGTGTTCATAAACAATACCTGAGCAATAAAGCCTGACTGACAGCTCCCATTGTTTCTCTTACCTCGCCTCTTTTCTCCCCCTGCTGACTTGCACCTGCCACATGGCCTTGGCTTTATTTTGTATTTTTGTTGCATATAAATCTGAGTGGAAACAGAAACCCGTGTGGTGTTTGGTTTCAGAGTCCCAGGACGGGAATTACAAGTCCGACGTGAGCAGCAAACCCAGGAAGGAGAGGACAGCGTTCACCAAGGAGCAGATCCGAGAGCTGGAGGCCGAGTTTGCCCACCACAACTACCTAACCCGACTAAGGCGCTACGAGATCGCCGTCAACCTCGACCTCACTGAAAGACAAGTATGTTCCCCCCACCGCAGCTTGTTTCCCCCCTGGGTTCAGACAACCCTCCCCCCATTAGCACATTAATGCCATGTTGTGAAAACAGAGGCGGCCTCGGGACGACGAGAAGCCTTTTCTCAGCTCGCTACTGTGTTTTCGTAACTTGGGTTCGAGGGGGCTATTGTGCTCCAGATGTGGCCGTGAGACGGGGACTATCATATTCCAGATGTTCCTGTCCATTCTTTCAAGCGGGCCAGAGTCGAGGCAGGGAGACGGGTTGAAGGAAGTGCTGTCTAGCAAGTCACTTCCTCTCTCCCACCACCCCTGCATGCACAAATTGGTCTCCGAGCGTGGGCCGGCTGCTGTAAAATGCTGGACTGTGAAATGAATAACAGGAGACAAATGGGCGGGGGGGGGGAGGAAACGGCGTACAGACGCTTCGTTCTCTGAGACCCGTTTGGGAGCTGTAGGTCACACTTAGTTGACACCTCACTGGTGATATTTTGCAGTGTGATACCGTACAGATTAAGTGTAAAAAAAACAGCCTGGAGACAGAAACCTGAGCGTTTCAGCTGATGTCTCGGATGCAAATCCCAACTTCAGATGCCAAAGATAGAGCTTTGAGCCAAAGTTATACTTTCCACTAGTGTGTAAAAAGTCCACTAGGATCCACGTCAGAGTGTGGATACCCGACCCGAGGTTCAGACACTTATTTGCAAATGATCTTCGGGTTCCGTCTACTGGTCACGATGCTTGAAGTTCTTTTTAGTTAAAGTTTTGAGTAAAGTAAATAAAATGATGGACCTACAGTCTGTGTGAATGTGTGATTTCAGCTGTTCATCACACATTCACTGCTTCGTCTCCTCAGACGGAGTGCGAAGAGTTACACACGGGCCAGTTTGTGCCAGAGTGCACTCTGACGCTCAAAGTGACTATTTACGAACTCACTTCGTTAACACAAACTCTGCGCATCATCTTAAATGAACTGCGTCTGAAGAAACAGAATGCCTGTCGAGTTCGGGTCGGGCTCGGTTCCTACTCTCTCAAACTCGGGTCGGGTTTGGACAGAAATATGCGTCCCGAGTGACACTCTGGTTCACGAAACGTACATTTAGGTCATCAGAGGGTTTAAGCGTAGGCACTGTGGGGACGTCCGTCAATTTGTTGTGGCGGTGCGGACTTGTCCGGACTTGTCCGCGGCCTCTACACTAACGATTTACTGCATTAGTGGAGCGTGACAGTATAAACTACAAGGCGTCCGTGGTGTCGGCAGATGTACGTGTACGCGTCCGTTCGGGAGCATAATAGCGATCAATAGATTATGTGTTTGTAAAGATTCATGTATATCATACGAAAGGTACAAAGATTGCATGGGCACAAGTACATGCAAAAATACTAAATGAGTTGATGACTGTGGACATTTTTAATTAAAAAAGAAATGGCTCCATACAATTTAGTACCAGGGCCCTGCTTTTTTATTGTGCAAGCTAATTCTTACTGGGACACCTAAATGGAACAGAGCCATCATTAATGTTATTAGTTGCACCTGCTTTTCTTGTCATCACATATTGTCCACCATGAGAAATCTACAGGCTTCGAATGTCTCAAAAGAAATGCCGTTAGTACCGCAGATACTGAAACCATTTTGCTGTCGTGATTAGCGGTTCAATTCCCACTTGAGACACCCGTGATAAAAATGTATAGCATGCACTCAGAGTACTGTGGAAGGGGCATCTAATGATTTCTTCCCAGTCAATATAAATGTCGCAAGTGTGTTTTAGGGGCCTCTCAAAGTAATGAGAGTCGTAAACCTGAACAGTCGCATTAAAGTTCTTACGCAATCTGAGAGCAACTGGAAATTGTGACATGCAAAGTGATACACGTATTAGAAATGGTGAACGTAAACCTCTGCCTTTGCTCCACAGTACAAAAAAACAGAATTTGAGGAGTACTTCTAGATACCGCCATGTCAGGCAAAACCCCATTTAACCACCAAGCACAGAGTTTGCCTTCGTAATTCCACTTCAGCCTTGGACTGTTGAAAATAATCTTTCTGTGCCGCGAAGCATAAAATGTGCATCGAGTATCTTCAGCTCATGCAGCGTTAATCGTGTGTGACCATTTTGTCAAGGAAAAATATACGGCAGGAGATAGAGGGCTGAATATTGGCAACACAAACATTTGGCCACAGCATTTGCAGCATTAGCAGTTTGGAGAAATTTGATGGATGTTTTGTTGATGGCAGAGGTGGAGCTACAGGGGCCAAACGTTTCATACAGTTGGAGATTACAACAGCTTGAGAATGGAAAGAAACTGGGAATGAAGTGATCAGCAATCATGCATTTTTAGATCCGGCAAAATTTGCCTACACTTTTTGGTTTTAACCTAAAAAGAATGTATCTAACTAATGTTTTAATGGCATTTAAATGACTACATTTTAGTGTGAAGAAGGTTGTATTGACACGTTGACATAAAGTCATTGAAATGCTGTTCAAACAGCAGAAGTAACCTCGAAGCCACCGAGCAAAAAAGTGTTTATTTATGATATATTTTATTATCAGTAGTGTGTTTCGTGCTCTAAATGCAAAGGAGTGTAGCTGTCCACTAGTACTTGAATGTTTTGAACCAGTGGATCAGTTCTTCTAACCGATAAGAGGATAAAATGGACGTTGAGTCTTTGAGTGTGATGTGTTGGGATTTAACTGTTAGCGTCACTATCGATCAGTATCGTCAATCAGTGCAGGTAGAGTGCTGGTGTGTGAGTCTGAATAGTGTGTGTGTGCACGTAAGCCTGGAGGATCACATGTTTGGTTTTGACATTAGAGCCTGGTGTATATAAATGAACCCCCCAAACCCCCACCCCCCTGCTCTCAGAAAAGGCTTGTAAAGTATTCGAGGTGATACTCAGCGCGGCGTACGCCCCGGACGTTAAAGACAAAACGTTTGTGCTGTCAACCAAC